TTTCATGGTATAAAGTTCAATACTTTTGGCCATAATAAGCACTTATGGAGGCTTACAATTATAAGGCAAAATACAAAATAGAATACAAAGTCAAATTGATACAGTTAAAACAAATTAATAATGCCAAAAGTTTTGCAAAATAAATATGCCTTTTGTCATTTTTCTAAATATTAGTAAAATGTGTGCCAAATACACAACCCGGGGACAAACTTTCTATAGCCTGGGGGCCAACCAGGAGAAGGACTTCTCCCATATACTAAATACACGAACTTCTGGAAAAGGGGAACAACTCCCCCCTTCCCCACTGGTCAGACTAACTGAGTAAGTTCTAACTGAGAACAAACTGAAAAACAGCCCCTGAAATTTTCAGGCCCTAATCAGCATTCAGTGTAGATAATAATGTACATGTTGAACAGAAGCCACCTAATATTACAACATTACAATATAAAGGACTGCATGTATTACAAAATGGTGCTATCAGGCCAAATTCTGCCAGACTACATTGAAAGATACTATGATTTGTCTACTTTTATGGTGATGAATACAGAGATTCAATAGCCTTTAAGACTATGAGGTGACAAATATTAAGGTAAATTTGAATTGGCTAGAAAAAAAACAAGAGTTATAGCATGACAGCTATATATATATGTGTGTGTGTGTGTGTGTGTGTATGTATGTATATATATATATATATATATATATATATATATATATATATATATATATATATATATATATAGTGAATTCCTGTCAAAGCTGCTCAATTGTTTTATTTGGCACTAATCTGTTTGAAATAGAACTTGGTTCTTAAGTACTTCATGTGATTAATTTCAAATACAACAACTGAATCAGAGGGCTAGACCAGGGGTAGGCAATCTTGGCTCTTTTATGACTCATGGACTTCAACTTCCAGAATTCTGGGAGTTGAAGTCCACGAGTCATAAAAGAGCCAAGATTGCCTACTCTTGGGCTAGACAGTTGTTTTCTGGCCCAGGACATCACTTCAGCAATCAAAGTAATTTAAGTATCATATCCCAGATGAAATACCCATGGAAAGGGATTCAAATTATCAAAAAAAAAAAAAAACATTTGGAGCTGTGAGACCACCATATTATTAATAACTTTGGCTCAAGATAAAATATTTCAGACTAGCCTATAGTTGCATAGATTCTCCAAAATAATAGAGGGCTAATTTAAGTAAAGATTTTATTACTGCTTCTTTAAGCAGGTGGAAATACATCCTGTGCCCCAAAGATCAATGCTAATCTCCCTTAACCAAAAGGCAATCCAACTTGGTTAATGTAGCTACTAGGAGGAAAGCTTAAGACTGACTAAGCAAGTATTGGCTCTTATCTCTCCTTATATCTTGTTCATATCCCCAAGATCTTACAAGATGAAAAGAATCCATATGAACCATTACCAACCTTACCTCCTATGACCTGTCCAAACACTGGAGTCCAAGTCAAGGCAACTCCGATCGACTTTGTCTGCAAAGAACAATGAAAACTGCTCACAGCGAGCCTCCGACTGTTCAGGCTCCCCAACCTAACATCTAGATGGAGGAGATGCCATACAGTACAGAGAAGCATTGCTGGTTTGTTCTGTGCAGATGCAATGGAGGCAGAGAAGTAATCCCTCTTTACTGCATCTACTACCACAGAGTAAGATTTTAGATGGGCTTTAAAATACACACCATTCTGTGTTTGGTCTAACTCATCACAAGAACTCATTCTACTTCAATCTTCTATGTATCTGCTTCATTGCTCTCAAATGTCTAATAAACCAAAGTGACAATTTAGCTCTGTTCGAGGGAACAAGACATAGAATGGATAATGTCAGCCACATAGGCAGTCTCCATGTTCTTTGATTAGCCAAGATTTCAACATTATCATGAAGAAATGAGGTGAGAAATTCCTTGGGTGCATTCTAGAAGTCATTGGATTCATCAGGTCCCTGGGTTAGAACATTTTAACTTCTCTGTCACTACGGAGTTTTTATAGCTGTTGCCAACCTAACAGTATTCTTATATGTCCTGGTCACAAGTGCAGAAACAAACAATCTGGTTTCACATAGTGTTGGATGCAGAGGTTGACCAATGACCTTGAACTTCTATAGACATTAAAATCTATGTCTCTTGGTATCACAATTCCAAAAACATTTATTGTTTGCAGGGGGGGAGGAGGGTTGGTTTGTTTAAGTTGCAAACTTTTAGTTCAAGTTTTAAAATAGCACTAGGTAATAATTAAGACTGATTTAACCAATTAATCAGTAGTTGAGATTGGCTTAACTGATTTAACAACTAATTCAAACAAATTTTACATAAATGTATAACTCAAAATTTGGAAAACTAATCAAGCAATAACTATAAAGGGAATTTTATTCATCTTACTAACAACCCTATCCATTAATGAAATAAGATTTTGATGAACTCCTTTTCCATTTTTTATTTATATCATTAAAGGGTCAAATTATGGCACAATGAGCCTGTTCCATAGGCAATATGATGACTTCTTTTAAAATACATATGCACAATGTTAACAATATGCTCAATATTCAAAGGATCACCTAGAATTACATAGTTGTTAGCTTGTTGGAGTACGTGACACTGCTATATATCCATGGTATTATTTCTGTAATATATCTCTCTCTTTTGGCATATATGTAATCAGATAATCAGTCAGGATAAAGCAGTTTAACGCATAATTGGAATGTCAAAAATTACAAAGGAATCACAGCCATCTACATCTGCAACCTACATGAAATTATTCACCCAGCCTAGATTAAAAGGGAAACAGAGTACTTTAATAGAAGCAATTTAGATTTTACCATGGTTTTTTTTAAAAGGTTTATTTGCTATAGCTATTCAATTGCTGGGAGTCAGTTTTGTGTAGTAGTTAAGGTATCAGGCTAGAAACTGGGAAATTGTGTGTTCTAGTCCCATCTTGGGCACGCAGCCATCTGGGTGACCTTGAGTCAGTCACTTTCTTTCAGGCCTAGGAAGGAGGCAATGGCAAAACACTTCTGAAAAACCTGGCCAGGAAAACTGCAAGTCCAGACAGTTCCTGAAAATCGGACACAATTGAACAGAAGGTTTCAACTGCTTGTATGCATGTTTCTATAGTTCACAATTCTGTCTCAGGCTGTATTACTGTATATAAATAGATATTGAAGCAAAACACCACAGAACACTCCAAATCCCATTTATACATACATGGAAACTTTCTAAAAGCTGGATCAAAATTGTTAGAGGACATTTCTATATACTGATTGGTGGTGCCCATAAAGATTTATGGGGTGCAACATTCTGGATGCATATCAAAACAATCCCAGAAATGTCTGCTTTAAGTAGCTGTAGCCAGGTCCTATATTTGTGCTCCTGGTATTTGTGCTTTTGAATCTGAAGCACTGTAGAGCCCTAATTATTTATAATTAAAATGCATTCCAAGATCTTTTAGCCCATATCTAAATGTATTAGGGCCTTTATTATGTACCCTTTTCTTGTGATGTCCTGCTGTTACAATGACCTTTTCAGATGCTATTATTACTATGTTTCAGAATATTCGATCAAAATATTAAGCTACTCAACATGCTACCAGGTCTTAGAAAAGGATCGTTACTTCAGCAAACTGATATTGAACACCCTTGCTTTCTTAAACATAGAGGTCCAACTGCACAATATATTCTTTCATAATAATACTATATAGTTAGAACCAGAATGGGAATCAGGAAAAGAACCACAGGGAATGTAAGACTTGACAACATTATTTAGGTGAGCTAGTGCTGCTGTTATACATTTAACCAGTTCTTTTACTAAACAAATCATCTGATTATGAATCTGTAACTAAGACAGGCACTTTCTATTTAGGAAACTATAACTCAAAAATAAACAATATGATGATCAAATTTATTTTCACACTATCTTTATTTCTAGGAATGCCTCTGGATGCCATATTTGACCTTCAGTCATTGTTAAAAAATAAAAATAATGGGTGCTAATAGCCCTGACTTTGAAAGTGAAAGAAGAAAAAAATCCAGTGGTGGGATGACAGGGAACAGAATCATCAGTTTGTTTTTGTTGTGACTTTTCATATTTACCATGATAACTGTTAAATAGCTAAAACTTCCTAATATGATTTCCAATTTATAAGAATGCAATTGGCTCAAAACATTATTGACTTCTGATACAATTGAACATCTTAATGTAAGCCTAGTCATATTTAGAATTTTTACACACAATTGCTACTAAACTGACATTGTAAGTGCTATTTTCAGGAATAAATGTTAGCTCAAAACATACTTGCTTACAATCACACCTAATACATAGGCCCTGGTAATTTTTGCTTTCAGCAATCTACTTTAGAATACTACCAAGAAAAGCAAAAAGTTGTATTTCAATAATCTCATGTTAAAATCAAAAGCAATGTTATTTATGAGAAATTTCTCATACTGAAGATTTTTCATACTGTAAGGAATAGATGCAAGGCCTTTCCACTGATTTCATATGAATTTGTGTTAAAGTATCTGCTAGTTGTCCACTTCCAGTCCACTTCTAAACATTTACAAAACTAAACCATCTGATTACTAGATAATTTTGTTTCTTCAGCTTCATTTTTCCTTAAATGATTTTCCTCATTAATTATGTGGCGAACAGTATAATTGGATAATACTTTTTAGTCTTCAATATGTTGCAGTTAATATAATCTTACTTATACACCCTCTTTTTATTCTTCCTTACCAACACTACCCATATTTAACTGAAAATTTGACTTTTTTGACCTTATCTACAGGGTTGTTATCTTGAAGTCTCTTAAGGATGAACCTTTGCTAACTTACATAAAACAGACTCTTGTGCTGCATACAAGATTAATATTATTTTCAAGGGAATACAAAAATTTGGAAGCATTAACTTTTCCTGCACATTGACAATTACTAAATTCATAGCTGTTAATCATTTCCAAACAAAGCTCAGACAAAACATAAACAATGAGCATAAAACTTACATAATCATGAAAGGCTTTAGCTTCACTTGAGTGTTCACATGTTTCACGTCTTTCTGGAGCTGCACAATAGAGATCCCAAAACACACTAAAAATAAAAAAAGAATGCTCAATTTGCAACTTATATTTTTTCACGTATATCCCATCTATACACATATATTATAGTAATTACTACTTTATTACCCTCTTTATACTGTGAAAGCAAAATGTATGCAGCATTCACATTCTGTTGGGACTACACATACTTAAGAATAATTACAGCGATAGCCTAATTGACTGTTATGCAGATAAATATCCTAATACTATAATTTAATTTGTGTTAAAATTAAAACATTCAAGGATCAAGCAACTGATAAGCATCTAAGTACCAAATAAAGTCTGTCTTTTTTAAACAGCAATATTTACTCCAGAGCTGTTTAACAGTTGAGATGGGCAATTCTTGTCTAAAAGCATTTGAAAATTGCTGATTTTTGTTATCATTAGAACATCATACAAAGTCATAAACAATTTTACATTCTGAAGCTCCAGGAGAGATTTTTATATATATAAGGGACCGAAAGGGAGAAGAGAACACTGAAGACAGATGGTAGCTAAAAGTCTCTTAGATTAAAATATTTATTAATTATAAATACTATTATAATACATATCTATTTAAAAATGAGTATCTAGCCTAAGCTCTTATTTCTAGCTTTAGTTTTCTTTTGCACTAATTTGTAAAAGTACCCTGGTATTTTTGTCTTGAGCTCTGCTTCTGGAAATTTCAGACATGTTCTCTGCAGATTTTTTTACAACAATACAGCATTGCTTTCTTCTAAGTTTTTTTTAAACTTTCTAATCTAGACTACAACCCTGGAATACTCTGGTGGTCACCTAGTTTAGAGACTCCTTCCATCTAATAAAAAAATGTAAGAGAACTAACTTAAATCCTTTCCTTGTGTAATAAATATAACATGCTTTTGAAACCAATTAATAGTATAGAAATTAAAATAAATAATATATATATTAAATTAAAATAAATAAATAATATATATATATATATATATATATATATATATATATATATATATACACACACACACACACACACACACACATAAAGAGCCGAGGTGGCGCAGCAGTTAGAGTGCAGTACTGCAGGCCACTTTAGCTGACTGTGTTCAACAGGTCAGTGGTTCAAATCTCACCGGCTCAAGGTTGACTCAGCCTTCCATCCTTCCGGGGTAGGTAAAATGAGGACCCAGATTGTTGGGGGCAATGTAAATATATATATACATTGCTTACTGGTGTACACCGCTTAGAGAGTGCTTGCACTTAAAGCGGTATATAAGTCTCATAAATAAATAAAATAATAAATAAATAAATAAATAAATTTTTCTGAATCTGAAGTTGAAATTCAGATAATGGCAAATTAGTATTTGCTCTGAAATCTAGCATTTACAAGGTGGCTGATCTTATTAGGGCTGGGCAGGAACAGTTCCAAAGCAAAGTCTCTTCCATGCATGTTTCACAAATGATTAGCAGCAATTTTAAAGGTGTACAAGTGTGAGCAACCACCACTGTGCTACTCATTAAAGCATTCTCTTTTTTTCATGAATCTGAAAAAATGCAACTGCTTGAAAGAGGCCAATCACTGAAGTTAAAATTATTCTTAAAGCAGCCATACCATTTGTTACACTGAGATGGAAACATGAAAATTAAAGAAATTGTTTTAATGAATATCATATAAGGATTATACTTACACTTACATGATAACATCCTCTAAATAATTTCTGATATATACACAGCCCTATTTTCTTCTGCAAAGGATTTTCTCATTTGTGTCAGTGGCAGGTGCCACATAGAAGGTGTGCATGTATAATCTCCTCTTGTCCTAAAATTAATACTGTTGCTCCTGTATATAGAATTCTTCTCTGTACACATATAGAGGAATTGACAGCAACATTCACTGGCTTCAAAATGGTGGGAATAACTGGGCAATCAAAGCCCCTGTCCCTTTTCAAACAAGAGTTATGCACAATATATGCATATAAATTAGGTTTAATCAACTGTTCACATTGATCATTTTAAAGCCACTGATTGGTACTCCAGATGCTCCCAAATATTAAAGAGCTCTAAAGTCAGAAACCTACTTTGTCTCTAACAATAACAATTTACATATATATGTGCTGGCATTTCTGCAGAATCTTAACAAGCAGTTGTCACGTCAGACTAATTTAGATGTATGTTTGTAGTTCTATGGGAACATCTAAAGGGGGCAAAACATAGATGTGGAAAATGAGTATCAATCCTGCTGAAAGAAAAATGAGCAAGGTTAAACTGAAATAATTGCATAATTAATTTTATCATTTCCAGCAAATGAAATGATAGTTCAATATTAAATGAGGTTGACACTAATCATCCAATTAATTAGCAAAATTTCTTGTTATCTTTGATAAAAATCAGATTTTGTACAAGTACAATATTCTAACAACCAACACAATCTTTGTAAACCGAAACACTTACCACCACCAAGAGTGCAAGAATCCTGGGGGTTCGCCCAATGTGATGTTTTTTTCCCATCTTATCTAAAACCAGTGCAAATAATGATTATTTATTTAGGCAAGATAGATTCACATAAAAACAATGATAGCATTTAGCTAAAATGAATTCAAAGATGGATCTTTTAAAATCAACACAGATCAATTTTAAAACGCTGTTTCAACTGTTGTCTGAATATGTGTTGTCTTCTGTATCTGAGGGAGTAGGTAAGTTTGAGTGTATAGGCATAGCTCTGTGTGTCAGAGTGACAGAAAAAGAGACTAAATGTGTGCAGAGTAAAGTACACATTCAGTCCACCAACCAGCAACTAACTATTGATTCTTTTTTTTTCTTATCTGCTAGCTATGGCAACTGTTTTACACTGCCTGAAAGTACAGCCAGCTTACTCTGTGCTTTTTTATAGAAATTTGGACTGGCTCATTTCTTGTAAGTATGTTTGCCCTCATGTGTTACATTGTTTTTATTCCAGACATCAACACCCTGTGTGTTCTCTCTCTCTCTCTCTCTCTCTCCTTAATTTTTTTTCTTTTTCATTTGGGCTTAAAATAAAGACTGTTCTGACAGTGATAAGCAATGCTTTAGGCCCAGTGCTTTTTCCCTGATATGTAACATGATCAATAACATTGCCACAATTTTTAAGGCCTTAAAAATTATAACAACCAATAATTATAAAAATGGATTTGTATAAATTTTTCATTTAAATGTTTTGTATTTAAATGTATTTATATATGACAGAGAACCATGATTCTCTATAGAGTCACTGATCATTTTTAATATAAAAAAGTTGACTAATACTATTAATCCAAAATTAAGAAAAGGCTATAGAAAACATACCTCTGATAAAAACGTTTGTGCAGACTTCTGTGCTCCTACATGGAGAAGATATTCATATACATATAGTGCTAACCTGGAAACAGAAAAAAACCTGTTAAAATTCTAATTATTTAATAATTCCAAAATGAATATTGTAAGATATATTAAATAGAGAAACATGTAGTAAAGATGTTATTTTACATCCAAAATATTAAATATGTTCAAAAATCCTAGCAGAGCTTAAAAAGCTTTTATGCAAAAAGCAGTCTGTCAATATTTTATTATCTTGGACATATGCCCAAATGGAGAAATGTTCAATTACTATTAATCTATATTTATCCACACAAGCTATGCTTACAGTAAACAATATACCATATCTGTAATTACAGCAGCACAGAACATTGATAAATAAATTCTTAACCATGATGCCTTTTCAATTCTTATCATATTATTATTACGGTTGGTTGCACAGCCAGCCAAATATTTAAACTGGATTTGGTGTTTTTATCTATCTATCAAGGGCTTCCCATGGATATTATTGTTTGTGTTAAAGACATCATCATGGGATGTTTTCATTTTTTGCACTTTTGCAATGGGCAAATAACTTTTTTTTACTGTAGACCTGCTGGAACTACTGTACTGGCCCTAGTTGCTTAGCCAACAGCAATATCTGTTATATCAGGCATGCTGTAAACAAGATGAATGTAAGTTTGGATCTAAAGGCCCATCAGATTTCAACCTGCTTGTTTTTAAATTCTCAACTTGAGGGTCCCAGTAGTTTTTACTACATTTGAATGCAGCCAAGAGAATGATCCTGATAGGGACTTTTTACTGGATACACAAAAGAAGTTGAGGGTTTGTAAACCAAGGAAGAAATACAAAAGATAAAACAAGGTAAGACTTAAATTGTGATTTTTAACTGGATTTACAAAAGAGGTCTGTTAAAGTCTTGAAGAAATATTCATGATGGAAGAAAGAAAGGCAATATATGAATGAATTAAAGTTCAAACTTGTTAGAAGTAAAAAAAAGAAATATAAGTTGGCATCCTTGATCAAAGTTAAAATAAAACATGTTTTTATAAAGCTCTCGTAACTCTTTACATATTTTTTGTCAATACTAGGACTGAAAAATCAATAATGGTCAGTCAATATGGTTTTGCATATAGAAGGGGTGGGCTACAGAATAAGAAATGTTTGTAACTTTATAGGAAGTGATGTAGTTATCAAAGATTGCCTATTTCCTTAAAATATACCTATCTAGCACAACAGTCTTCTGAATTAGATATGTTGTAGATATGTTCACATGTCTCATGAATTATAGCTTAAGAAGGAGCTAAAGGCCACCCACACATTTAATGTTGGGACATTATAGAGTATAAAGAGAAATAGTAACCAAATAAGAGATACCCACATCTTTTTTTCAAAAATGAATAACAACAAATTATTCTCTACAAAGCTACTATATTTTTCTCAGATTTTAGAGAAATTAAAATAAACTGGATAGGATTCTTCCAATAAACATTACAGATTTTTCTCAATTTGACATCTCAGTGATTTTACCTTGCACCTTACAAAGTCCTACAAACAAAAGCTTACTTTTTAAAAGATTCCCCCCCCCCCAAAAAACTAGCTTTACGTAAACTAAGTGTAATTTTTTAAAATAACATGTATAGCCTATTGCAGTGATGGCGAACCTTTTAGAGACCAAGCGTCCAAACTGCAACCCAAAACCCACTTATGTATCGTCGGGTGCTGGGTGGGCATGGCCCATTGGGTGGGCATGGCCCATTGGGTGGGCGTGGCTGCAGTGGTAAAGGCAGACTGGGTGGGACTAAAAAGTTCAAACAATCAATTCCAACTTTGCAAGATCTTTTTTTTTCCCACGAGAAGTTGAAATTGATTGATTGATTCTTTTTTTTTTTTTGCACACGGCAGTGGAGGCCTAAAGCGAAAAGGTTTTATAAAACCCAAGTGAAGGCCTAGGACTGGGGCAACAGTGTGCGTGCCCACAGAGAGGGCTCTGCATGCCGCCTCTGGCACCCGTGCCATAGGTTCGCCACCACTGACCTATTGTGTCTTATTTTTCCTAACTCCTTCACATTTCCATTTTAAGTAATATATTTATCTGAATACTACTTGTAGTTATTTGTAAGCTATTTTTTTCCCAAATAATTTAAAGATGGTATGGTGATAGACATAGATTTGGTGAGGTGCTTTCTTATAGTTCAGGCTGTTCTTCTTTTTGGTAAACATGGTAAAGTATCCTGTTGACTAATACTTTCAGCTATTATAGTTTTGCATAATTTTCTACTCAGTTTCATTTAAATGAAAACCTATTGAATAAGAGTAGGAAAGCAATAATAGGGGATTATCCAGCATCTATTCAAAGCTAGATCAGAGATCCCCAACCTTTTGGGCACCAGGGACTGGTTCCATGGAGAGAGAGAGATTTCCATGGACCGGAGGGTGTGTGGTTTTGTGTGCTGCCTGCATCTCCCAGATGGGGCTTTGCTTGTTTGTGCGGACTGGTTGCTGGCATGCTGCAGCCTGGTACTGGTCCACGGACCAGGGGTTGGGGACCCCTGAACTAGATTATCTGGAAGATTTCTACTGGAATCTTACTAAATATATATATTTCTTTTTACACATGTCATTATTAATGGAACTCTTGCAGAACATTTCAAAGAAAACAACTCAGTCTTGTCATCTACTGGTAGGGGTGTCCCTTGGGAAGCAAATATAAATGGCTATCAAACCTCTATCCTTTTTTCCATGCCTTTGATTTATATAATGCATACTAAAAAAAAGTGGGTCTTAAATCAATGGGTCACAAATATCATTGTTATTCCTCTGTCTTGGTGCTACTTGACCTCTCAGCGGCTTTTGATACCATCGATCATGGTATCCTTTTGCAACAACCTGAAGGGGTGGGAGTGGGAGGCACCGTTTTACGGTGGTTCTCCTCCTACCTCTCTGGCCGGTCGCAATCGGTATTGGTGGGAGGGCAGAGGTCAACCTCAAGGCCCCTTGAATGCGGTGTGCCACAGAGGTCGGTCCTCTCCCCCCTCCTATTTAACATTTATATGAAGCCGCTAGGTGAGATCATCAGACAGCATGGGGTGACGTTTTATCAGTATGCTGATGATACCCAGCTATATATCTCCTCCCCGAGCTCTCTCAGTGAAGCGGCTGATGTGATGGGCCGTTGCCTCGAAGCCATGAGGGTCTGGATTGGAGTTAACAGACTCAGGCTCAATCCTGAGAAGACCGAGTGGCTTTGGATGTTGCTCCCAAGGATCATGTCGACTGTCCAGTGTTGACTCTTGCGGGGGAAAATATACCCTCTTCGGGGCGGGTTCGCAACTTGGGTGTCCTCCTTGATTCACAGCTGAATTTGGAACATCATTTGACGGCTGTGGCTGGGAGGACCTTTGCACAAGTTCGTCTGTTGCACCAGTTGCGACCCTACCTGGACCGGGAGGCTCTCCTTACAGTCACTCATGCCCTTGTCACTTCACGTCGGAACTACTGCAACGCGCTCTACATGGGGCTACCCTTGAAAAGTATTCGGAGACTGCAGTTGGTCCAGAATGCAGCCGCGCGAGTGATAGTGGTGCTCCTCGATACACCCACGTTACACCTATCCTCCATGAGCTGCACTGGTTGCCTATTGGTCTCCGGGTCCAATTCAAGGTGTTGGTTATTAGCTTTAAAGCCCTATATGGCTCAGGGCCAGGCTATTTGCGAGACCGCCTACTACCTCATAGTTCCCTTCATCCGGTTAGATCCCACAGGCTGGGACTCCTTCAGGTCCCGTCGGCCAAGCAGCGCCATTTGGCGGGGCCACAGAGGAGGGCTTTCTCTGTGATGGCGCCCACGTCTTGGGACCAGCTCCCCCCAGAGATTAGGACCACTCCCACCCTGTTGGTTTTCCGTAAGCTGCTTAAGACCTGGCTTTTCCAGCAGGCCTGGGGTTTATAAAATCTGGCCCCTGGATGACTGTTATTGTACTGTTTGTTTTGTTATGTTTTATGGTGTTTTTATTGTTAGCCGCCCAGAGTCCTCTGGGAGTGGGGTGGCTTATAAATTTTAAAAATAAAATAAAATAAATTTTAATATTGCTGATCCCTCTGCCAATTACATAAAATACTACCTTCTATTAGTACTAAATACTATTATTAGTAGTAGCATTATAAATATTAATACTAAATACTACCTACCTAATAACTACTAAAATACTACAAAATATTTTATGTATTTATTATTTTTATATATTTGTATAACTAAAGTAATTGCGTGAATCTTTTATAAGGTTCCAAAATAATCTGCCTTTTTAAAAATCAGACAATAATTAAAACATTTAAGCAAATGTAACTTATAGCTGTACTACATGAGGGATTACTTCTATCTTTAAAGATTTCCCCTTGACAATGGAAATCAGGAAAAAAATATACATAGAAGTCTCTTCCAAAGTGAACCATGATGAAAAGCTGTTATCTGCACTAGAAACCTTGAATTCATAATTTTAGCCGGTGTTTAAAATTTAGAATAAAAATATTTATAGCAAAATAAACAAGTTATCTTCATATTCATATTCATTCAGTTTATATTACAATATATTACAATATAAACTGAAACAAAATAATTCATTAAAGAAATTAATCAATTATCAGTTAATAAATGGCTGGGCATTATTGTTTAAGGACATTTATATTTATGACAACATTTATATTTAAGACTAACATTTTCACAAGTGAGCACTGCACACACAATTCAGTTTATGTTGTACCATATTCCCTAGCAATGGAAGTAACAAAGCAGAAGCCCTTAGCAAAATTTGACTTTTTTTGGAAACAAAGCTTAATGAGTATTTATGCTGTTTTGCAATATTTGTAATTACTTACATTAAGAAAAGACCCTTTACAACAGACATGTCAAACACAAGGCCCAAAGGCCAAATGCGGCCCGTGAAATGGTTTTATGTGGCCCACAAAGCCATCCTGGAAACAAGGCCCCCACTGCCTTGGCCCTAACCGGCTGGGAGCCAATGTACAATTTTGTGGTGGCCATCTATGCTGAAACGCATTCAGTCTT